TTTTCCATTGATTTCGCTTTCTCAACATGAATTCATTTTTTTTACACTCATCTGTACAGAGTTCGGAATTTCCTGAGCTATTACTGTATATGTAATAATTTAAATTTATTGAAGATAGATCTTAACCCTTTCGCGCCTAATGGGATACATATGTCCCAAGCAAATTTCAAAAAATATCTCTGGCATAGAAACGCTTCCCTGTCTAATGGGAGACTTTCTCACCAGTCCTGCCAATATTTTTGAAGGTATTTTCATTCACAGAAAATAGATGGCACTACCATACATAATGCAATTCCCACATTTTTTAAGTGTTGTAGCAGCTCATTCCATACTCTATGAATGTAAATAGTTTAGTTTTGGAAAATACCGCCCATTTTCGATTAAATTTTGATTTATCCATAAATCTAAGGCCAGATAAGTTATTCACGAAGCGGATTACCTCTAATAAAATGGTAAGTGGCAAAGTTTTACTTCCGTTTTTATTATCGGGACATATGTCTGTCTTCCTATCATCTTGGATAGTGGGAACACATTGTCTCAACAGTCCTATGTGATCATTTCTCTAGATATTATATTTTTCGGTTACTTTTGAAATAGTTGCTTATTATTTTTAATTTAGGCACATATTAATTCAATCTAAAATGACTCGACGCCGGGGACTTACTAATGAAGAAATAAAAAAATTTTAGAAGAGTCAGATGATGAAGATATTGATTTGGATGATGAAATAGGCGATCCCGGTTTTCAATATCCAACACACAATTTGCAGTACTCATCTGATTCAGACGAGTGTGAAATGGATATCGATCATGATACCATTCCCCAAAATACAAAGAAGAGTGATGCTTTGAGTGATACTGATACAGCATCACTTTGATCAGTTGATGAGATACCATCAGCTAATGCTTCAGGCTAATCTTATGGTTTCATGCAGATTCAACTTTCCAACCTCGAATGACAATTCCAGCAGAGTCATCGCCTAGTTTGTTATTCAACTTAAATCGTTCAGCTACCGAATTGGATGTGTTTCTCAAGATATTTCAAAAAAGTCTTATGATTTGGATCTCTCAATGTACAAACCAACGACTTGAAAAGTTAGGACAAACAATTCACCCTACAGACCCCTCTGAAATTATGCTTGTCCTTGGATGCATGCTTGTCATGTCTTACAATAGGGGGTGCCGAAATTCTCTCATTATTGGTCATCTAATCCTTCTTTGGGAAACGTAGCAATAAAAAATGCTATTTCAAGAGACAGATGTAAAACGTTGCTGTCGAAACTATATTTTGCTGCACCAGAAAAGCCAGAAGAAAATGCAAGTAAAACAAATACTATATTGACGAGGTTGTTTCCGTGCCTGAAACAAACCTTCAAACAGTGCCGAAGCGAAAGCTCATATCAAGCTATTGATGAATCAACTGCGAAATTCAAGGGACGTTCATCCCTCAAACAATATATGCCGATGAAACCTGTGAAAAGAGGGATAAAAATTTGGCAGCGATGTGATTCAAAAACAGGATATGTATATGACATGAACATTTATTCCGGAAAAGAAACGGGTGAAGTTCAAGGCACACTCGGGGAACGGGTAGTATCAAAGCTAACAGAGACAATGTGAGGTAAAGACGTGATGCTTGCGTTTGACCGATTTTTTACAAGCGTGCACCTGATGGAAAGCCTGAAATTTCCTGCAGTTGGTACATGCATCAAGACACTCAAAGATGTTCCTAATTTTGCAACAAAACTAAGCAAAAGGGGTGAGGCTGAGTTTCTCATAACTAAAAACGGAACATTGTGTGCAAGGTGGCTTGATTCAAAGCAAGTGATGACGCTAAGTAATTGCCATGAAGCTAAATACACAAAAGTAAATCGCACCATGAAAGATGGAAGCAAAGAAGAATTTGTGAGCAATCGAATTCTACAACAAAATCATGGGAGGTGTAGACCTTGCAAATCAAATGGCAAATGTCTATGAATTAGATCAAAAATCTTGCAAGTGGTGGAAAAAAGTACTTTTTCGCCTACTGATGAGCGCAGTGGTCAACTCATGGATTGCATACTGCGAACTCAAACATAAAAAAAAAAAAACCCGCTTCTTGATTTCATTGCACCTCTTGCAGAAGGCTTGATGGTATCCGGAAAGCTCAACGCACAGTATCAACGCCGTAGAGGAACTGGACGCCCATCCAAAACATCACAAAGCTTACTCAATGTTGGTGACCATCTGCCAGTAACAACAAAAACACGACGGCGGTGCACGATGTGTAATGTCGCATAGTGCATTGATTGTTTCAAACCATACCATTCGTAATTAAATTTTTATGACTAGAAAATCATTGGTTTTCTTTACAAAATTACTCATTGAAGACTACTGGGACACATATGTCTCAGCGGTCAGGACTGATGGGACATATATGTCCCGGTCCTAAATCAGTGTTCAAAATTTTCTAAAAATATAACATCTTAGTGTTTAGTATTTTAGTGTGCCCTATTCATAGTTTATGTTATCAAAATTGTTCTGTTTAAAAAAAAAAAAAAAAAAAAAACCTCACTGCGAAAGGGTTAAAGCATTTGAAGTCACGATGATATATTGTAGACGCAGAATGAAAAATAAACTTGCAGTCATGGCAAATTTACACATTCGTTTTTATTTTGACATTTATAGCCACAAATAACATGGCACACTAATCATGCCCATACCAGAACTTATACATTTTTTATATCACTATGGTAAGAAGCGAGCAGCAGGAGAAACAGAAAGCAAGTGATATACAAGGGCCATCCAGGAAGTAGATTACGTTTCCGTCTGTGTCCGCTAGGGGCGGGGCTAGCGCGGCCATCTTGGGGTCAGAGCGTTGCGCAGCTCAGTCTGCATCTAGCCGTGCTAGTGAGAGGTTCGTGCTGTGCTCCGTTCAGATACTGTGACGGTTTGAAATGTCTGCGTTAATTGAAAATCCCGCGAGCTGCGAGGTGCGCTCAGTAATAAGGTTTCTGACTGCAAAAAACTGTAAACCGATAGAAATCTATCGGCAGCTTCGTGAAGTGTGTGGGGACAACATTATCACTGAAGGTGGAGTGCGTCAGTGGGTCATAAGATTTCAAAATGGCCGAACCAATGTTCACGACGAAGATCGAAGTGGGAGACCCAGCATAGTGACCGCCGCCGAACTTCTCGAAAAAGTCGATGCTAAAGTCCGTGAAAATCGAAATTTCACAATAACGGAACTTTCTTTGAGTTTTCCACAAATTTCGCGAAGTTTGTTGCACGAAATCATCAGCGAAAAGCTTGGTTACCACAAGTTTTGTGCAAGATGGAAGGCAAGAAGAGGTAACGAAGTGGTTGAAGGCGCAGGCGGCCGAATTTTTCGACGAAGGAATTTCCAAGCTCGTACATCGCTACGATAAATGCCTTAATTTGTATGGTGACTATGTAGAAAAGTAGTATTTGAGTGTGGCTTTCATCTGTATATAATAAAATTTGTTTCCTATACTTTGTTTATTTTTTTATTCCAAAACGTAATCTACTTTCTGGATAGCCCTCGTATTTCAAAATTGAGGCCTAATTCAAAAGAAGAAATGTTTTGGTTAACCATCCTTTTACTGACTATTTAAAGACTCGATACTGATGGGCTAACTTTCAGTTTGCAATATGTAATGCAGGGGTTTCCAACAGGGTCAATGAAATCTTAAAGGTGGTCAATAATGATCAAGGGGTGGACAGACATGTATATACATCAGCATAATAAAGATACCATTGATTAGAGAAAAATTATTAATAAAATTGCTTATAGTTTATTGGTATAAAGCTGTATCCTGTAGTAAGGAAGAAATCATAAAACAAATATATAAGGGGGAAATACACTAAAATTATATAATACGATTTGAAAATCAATATTTTTTAAATAAATAATTTCTTAGGAAATAAGTGAAAAAAAAAAAAGAAAGAAATACACAATAAAAATATGAAGAATGCAAAACTAGAATGGAAAATAAAAAAATAAAAAGTTGAATTTTTTGATAAGGTGATTTTAAAATTTAACTAAGCAATTTTATGCCAAATATTAAAAAAACTACAGCATACATCAAGTTCAATCAAGCACAATAAATTAAAACTGAACTTTATGAAATTAGAATCTGTGATTTTGTTACACTTGTTTACATTTGTAAATTTATACATAATTTGAAAAATAATTAAACATAAATCTAAACAACCATTTTTTAAAACTTTGGTTCATATTCATAAGGTCACTGTTATTTCTACGTTATGCATGTGAATTATTATGGTTATGTATTATGGTTATGTTGCATACTGCATATTAGAGAGAAAAATGTAAGGGAGTTTGACGAGAAAACCATTTTTTTTTAAAAGGGATAAATGTTGGAAAAATGATGGAAAGGGGAAATACCAAATTATAACACAGAGTTAACAGAATACTGCAAATTAAGTTTGTATTTTGTTTTACATACTTTTTACTTACATATTTGTTGTTGTTTTTATTGGCATATGAATAGTAAATAAATTCAATGAACAAGAAATACACGAGATAGTTCACAGTCAAACCATCTGGTGCCTTTTTGAGATGATGCAACTAACAGAAAAGTAATGAAATTTGTACACATAGGTAAGCATACATTTCAGATAAGTTGGGATAAAACAACTACCCGCTAACCAACAGCAATAGTCAAATAAATAAGATTATTCTAAATGTAAGCCTCCTCCTCTTAAAAAAGCTTCAACACTCACAGAGTTAGAGATTTAATAAATAAGTATTTTACGAGACCCCAAGAGATTTTTTAAAAAAATGAAGTCTCTTTCAGATGGACAATTATATTTAATTCATAATGTTTGCCTCTAAGTAGAACATAAAAGCACTTGAATTCTCAATAGCATTAGAAAAATAACTGCAGATTAACAGCATACAGTTGACATTACTTCTTTTTAGGAAATTTTCTTGCATTATATAACATAGTAATAAACTATAATAAGAAACACAACAAATCCAATGTTTGTTAGTTTTTATTCACTTCGATACAAAAATAAGTTACGATTTATCTTACAAATTCCTCTGACATAAATAACACACACATATAGCAGAGACTTCTTTAAACGAACCGCTGCGACTGTCAAGGGGAAGATTTTTGTGCATTTAATGCATGGAAGATCTACACATTTTTACACATCTACATTTTCACAGCATGATTTGTTAAGTGTTTACAACACTTAAACTAATTTCAAATATGCATTCTCTAAGAACGAAAACAATCAGGGACTAATTAAAAAAGTTATGTTTAGTGCTTCGATAGCAACATCTTACCATTTCTAATCATTCAAGCTGAAACAAGAACTTTTATTTTATTAAGATTTATCCTTAAAAGTCATTAAAATATATCTAAATGTATATTTTTATGATCTGTATTTAAAGATAGCTCAATTAAATAACACAGAAGTCCCTGACCTAAGCTTATCGATTTCTTCTCGAAGTAAAATTGTACACATGGATTCACATCATAAAAATTTATCTTACAAACAGTAACAAATGACATTGCTGAATGCAACTTAATGACTACAAAATGATTAAATCTAAACATATACAACAACGCATTTAACAATAAATCTAAGACAAGAAATAGATCTATACAAAAAAGTGGCAGTAAAAAGTAACAATACAAACAAAAATTTCTTAAATAAACATAAAAGTACATATACATTGGTCTCATAAAACACATATAAAGGAAAGTTTTTAATTTAAAATCTAAATATTATTTACACATTAAAATATACTAAAATATAATTAAGCACAACACTTGTACTCATAAGCTCAAAAACGAAGATAATATTGAAAAACTCCTGAAAATTTTCTTTTTTCATTTATCTTTCAATCACACAAAGCTGAAAACCGAACTCTGAACATAAAGAAATACTATTTTAAATTAAAATAGCTAGTGCATAACATAGATTCAAATGTCTTGCAATATTAAATTTTACATACTTTTCTTGAGGAGGAGGAATTTCAATCACATATACTTCTGGCATTACTCGAATATGCATGGCATTTTTGAAATATAAAAGCATTTATACAAAAATTAAACTCAATATATCAATTTGTCCACCAGGTTATAAAATAAATTGTTTTACACAATTAACATTTCAACAGTCGCAGCGTTTCGATATTGCATAACGATATAAATGCTATACACACAAAAAGAATAATCATTAAATGATCATTCTGTGAAGCTTTACAGAACACTAAAAAAAAAAAAACACACTTTGCACGGCAGAGCCTTGAGTAATACCACTCTCAAGGCGTAAAAGGCTGTATTTTATATATGTAGGTTGTTAAGGCGAACTTTTATTTCACTGAAGGGTGTGTTGTATAAACACACAACCTATCAGGGCTAGCCATACCTAAGCATTCACTCAATAGATCAAACACATATCAGTTTACCTTCTATTCAGAGCATCTGTTCTTAAAGCCTTCATTTGGAAGTTTAAAAATATTTGACAGATACAATGTCAATTTTCCTAGATTTATAGGAAGACGATGTTGGCCAAATTAACTCAAAAATATTACTTTTTTGTCTGCACCTTATGAGGGGCATGTTATGCACAGCTTTCCAATCTGTGGCTAGCAACATTATTTGCAGCAAGCCTAAAAATATAGCTATATATATATATATATTTATTTATTTACTAATATGTATGTATATAGTATGTATATAAACATCTAAAATTTCCTTTTTCACCGAGTGAAAAAAATAAATAGAATGTTTTAAGTGATTAATATAAGATACATAATCCATGGTCTGACAAGGTACAATAAAAAAACTTACAAAATTCACAGAAACGACCAGAGTTAGAATTCCTTCCCTCCCTCTTTAAAGTGATATTCATACGCTAGGGTGCATAGATAGGGTTACTCTACTTTTAGAGTATGTATAAATTATACCGGTTTTATGTGCAAAAATTGCGCACTGTCTTGGTATCATAAATTGCATAGTGAAAGTTGCTAATAAAAGCATTAGCATTTATGCTATAAAGCATACAAAGGTAGAGATAAAATATATGCAATTATGGGAGATACGACCATTATGATTATTTCATGAGTAATCATGAGTCAAGTCTTCATGAGTAATATTCTATTGGAAGATTTCACTCAACAATAAGGGTCTGTAAATATCTAAAGAAAATGAAATCCTATAAATATATAGGCAAAATATGGTCCCATGCATATTGACCTTTTTCATTTATAAAGCTGCTCAAAATAATACCCGTAAGAACCCCCATAAAATTGAGTGTAAAATTAAAAAATACTTTTTTCAAGCACTAAAACATGATATAAAATGCTAAAAAATGTATAACTTTCACACAGAAAATTAAAGAAAATAAATATGTTTGATGAAATGAGGCTGACTAAACATGAATCGCAGTAATAGACACTGTCTATCAAAAAAATAATTCTCACAGAAGACAATGATGGCCAAAGCAACAGCACGAACATAAAATTTCTAAACCTAAAGATATCAAGCATCCAAATCGGAGTCTGGTTCACTTTCACTGGCAGGAGATAACACATGTTCATCTCCAGAACACCCAAACCACTCTGCATTTTCAATAAGAGCGTCTTCACTGCCATCAGAGGCCACAGCAACACCTGTAACAACAAAACTGCGTCGTACAAGGTCCCGTTGGTTCTTGAGCTTATCAAAGGCGTCCATGATGCACCGGGAAACTTCAGTTGCGGAAGGAAGATAAGTATTCATGGCCGTCTTTGAAAGAGCATCTAGTGAACTCGAGCTTTTGGAAGAGTTCCAGATTTCTTGCAATAATTCTTGGAAGTTTCTGATTATACATGCACTTAGAGGCTGCAGTTTGGATGCGCAGCCTTCAGGCATGATAACAGGTGTTATACCAGATTCTAGAATCGCATCTTGAACTGAGCTGCAAATGTGAGGTTCAAAGCAGTCCATCAAGAGCATACTTGGAGATGGCACATTGCTCAACCACACATCATCAGCCCACTTTTTAATAACATGCTGATCAACTAATAATCTATCTCTGAATAAAAGATGAGGTATTCCTTGGGGCCTTGATGTGTATTCATGGTTTTTCAGAATAATCATGGGCGGCAAGAAGGTCCCGTCAGCCAAACAAGAAAGTATGACGACAGCATTCCAAGAATACATCCCACTATTAAAAATAACTCTTCTTTCATTTCCAGATACAGTAAATAACAAAGGAATTTCATCCATGCAGCCTATAGCCAGCATAGAGAAGTTATTCTCCTCTTGGAGCTCTTTCACCATATTGCGAAACTTGGTTACTTCAGCCTCCATTTCTTCAGGGAAAGTCTCCCCAATACTAGGCAATGCTTCTAGTAATCTTGGATACCTCTTACAGAAAGAAAAGACATAATCTTCGGCAGGCATGTCATTTAATTGAATTCCAGTTTTCATTTTTTCAGAAAGAGCATACTCCACAAGCTCCTGATTTGTAATAGGTAAATTTTTGTCATATCTTGTCAATATCCACTTTATCAATTGATTATCTTTCTGAAGGCTCCTACAAATGCCATATCTTTTACACCAATTTTTATACCATTCTTTACTGCATTTCATGTTATTAAAACCATGTTTCTGAAATATTTCTAAAGCTTTGGTTCTAATCTCGGGTAACTCTGGTGCAGTATCTGGAGTTCTTGAACTATTGTACCAATCAAACACTTCTTTGTCTACATCTAAACAGTTCACCTTCCTTCCACCTAAAGAACCTCCACGTTCTCGAACTTGGCCCGTCTCAGCCAGCCATCTTAATTTATCTTTACTCTTAACCCATTCACGTATTCTTTTTCGAGCTACACGAAAACATCTGGCAGCACAATTCACACTTTGCCTTTCAGCAACTTTCGCAATCTCTACTTTCACAGCAGGAGGGTAATTCACACGGCTTTCTTTTTCTAAAACATCAATATCTGCATCCTCTTCATATAATTTCTCAGGGTCCATACCTCTTTTATTCCACAGATAAAACCACCAACAATTTTTTTTCACTTCAGCTTCACCTATAATATTTAAAATTTCATTTGCCTTATTTTGCACATCCATTGGTTTGATAATGACCTTGTGTTTATTACAATCCTGTATCCATGAAAGAAATTTCTGCTCTGCTGTCTCAGACTTCAGTATCTTTGTATGCAATGTCTGAAGATTTTCACAATAGACTTTTTTCCGTATTCTATCTTTGTCTTTACACCATTCTGAGACTGTTATATGATGGACACCAAACTTCCTTGAAGTCTCTTGATAAGAATGACTGGCTGCATAGTCTATCACCATTAGTTTAAAGTCAGGAGAATACCTTTCTCTTCTTTTTTTGACACTCAAAGCTTTCTTTTTCTCTTCAGCAGAATGTATATCTGTTATGTGATTCAGGTATGGATGACTCTGCTTTATGCTGTTTTCATTTCTCTCTTTGCATAAATTCATAACAGCTTGTAGAGAGGAAGAGCACGCTTTATAAAGATCAGAATCTTTTGATTGCATTTGTGCTGCAGCGTTTATGATGGATGGATTTTGCTGAATAACATTCAGCAATTCTGGAAATTGACTCATGAGTTTTAGGTCCATTTCACTACTTTTCATTGTACTGAGGATTGCATTTGTCATGTAAGCTTGTTTAAGGGCATTTAAAGAACTTCCTTCAACATTTCTTGAATTTTGCAAGTCCAAGGGTCCTTGAGAGATGGGAAGCTAAATGAAAGAAATGGGTTATAGTTTATTCACTTATCACAGTATGCACAGCAATATATAAAGTATATCATAATATATAAAAATTTGATTTACTAAATAGTAGCCAGCTCAGAACTAATAGAAATGAGCACTGTGTACTTGCCATAATTTTAAAATTTTGCAAATGCCTCAAAAAATAAACTACATATATATATATATATATATATATATATATATAATTTACTCTATGCTAAGTTGTTTTCAAGTTCACTAAATGCAATGAGTAGTTCTTAACAGTATTAATGATTAGAGCAACTGCCTTTTTAATCTTGAGCTCAGACAACACTATCCAGCTGCTCTTCACTTTGATGACGAATGGCTTATTATACTATGTTTAAATTTTATGACCCACTCTGCAGATAAAGTTAGGATTCTAGTACTAAATGATAATGAATAAATCTCATAGTAAGAATTTTCAGACAAGAATTAAAAAAAGGCAAAGATTACACAAAGGAGTAAAACTGAATTTGCTTCATCCCGAGGATCTTCGTTAGTTACTTTGCCAAACATTCATCATTTATGAACAGCTAACCATAAACTGAATTTAGTCATGCTGCCCCAGCTGACCAAACATCAAATAAATAATGTTTTTAATCAAGGCACAAAACCTCAGTGATTTGATATGATAAAACTGCCTGGAACATAAACACTCTTTCCAATAAAAAAATTCTTGTAATTATTCTTTGTTATTCCCCATATTAACTGAGCTAAATTAATCAAAAATGCACACTTCCCCATTACCGTAGATGCAGTTTATCATGGATAAATTTCGTATGCAAATTAATTGTTAATAAACTCATTGACATAAAAATTTTAACACACTATAAAAGCAGCAGTAACAACAGAGAGAGTTTACACATTTTCAAGACTATTTTGGGGCCATTTAATTAATGCTTAAAATGTAAGTAGTACTTCTTTAAATGCTTGATCTGATAGCCTCTTTTCTGGACTGTAAGTGTGCATCATGATTCCCATGACTGAAGGACTTTTTATAAAACTTCCACAGATACTGATTTTCATTCCTCTTCCACTACTTTCCAGAGTACATAAATCGTGGTAGATTTGCACTTAGCTCTTTTCATGAGACCACAAGCACAGTAGTCCATATATAAAACATTAGGGGACTTCAGAAGAATGTGTTGAAAAGGTATACATGCAATCAATGCCTGTATCAGTCATCCCCTCCAGGAATGCAAAGGTACTTTTTAAAGTATGACTTTTGCTTTGTCTTGATGAAGTTTCACTTTTTGAACGTCATTGGTAAAAAGAAATGGAATTTCCTCAGTAAATACTCGGTTAGAGTTACTATGTGGGGTTCTATTACACTTTGCATTGCTCTCATTGCTTGTATTTTGCATACTTTCCTTTTTATTTTGAAAAGCCTTGACTTCAGTTTATTATGGCGAGGAACCAGTATTATTTATCACAGAAAAGATATACTCACATAGTAAATTAGGCAATTATGTGACATGGATGAGAGAGATGATAACTTTTCAGAGTTATACAGCAATATTTCTAGCAATTCTCATATGGAAATTTTGTCAGAGACCAAACTTACTGAGCGTCTGCCTTTAATTTCCGTGAAAGATTTTGTTACTTCTTCTTGTAAATAATTTTTCTTGAATTTTTTAAATTTAAGTTTATTAATGCATTTTGTGAATTAAAATTTTGGAATAATTTAAATAGCACTTTCAAAAATTATTTCTCCAGGTAAGCAAATTTTTTGATTATTTTCATGTAAAGTTAATGAAAAAGATTATTAAATGCTAAGTTTAACATATAGGATAGCTTAAGTAATAATCTAAAGTATAACCAAAAATTATGACATTAGGCCTAAAAAAACTTTCTTTTTTGGTGTGTCCCCTTCCCTAAAGTTAGGCTTCGCGACGTAAAATACCTGTCATGCGAGATAATTGCTTTAAACGCCCATCCATCCCGAGAGAACGTATTAAACAAAGGCGAGCCATATAGAAAGGGTTAAAAGGAATTTCTGCTCATTAGAATCCTGAACATGACAGTTTCTTCACCCAAAACTGTTCCCACACACCTCATTGCCTGCTTTATTGCAGTATAGTGGCTGCTTGTTGCTAACCATCCTTAAAGATGGTAACTGATTATATTTTATGTCAGTTTATGGGAATCCCCAAAGACATTTTCTCAAACTCATTACACCAAAACAGCTGAAAAATTCAGGTGAATTGACAAATTGAGATTTGCTATGAAGTAAACACATCAGTGACAAGACAGCAGGGTGTATTGTGAAATGCCTCAAATTCTGGAACATCCAGAGAAGTGTGCGAGTCAGACAGAATTTTTTTTTTTTTTTAATGGCCAGGCACTTTATTTAATAGCCATTAGCTTTGTGCCACTACTAAGGCTGAAATTGGTTGCCATTTCATAACGGAAGCAACTAATAGGTGAACATCATTGCCTCCTATGAAAGAACGGACAGCTAAACAATGTCTTCTATGGGATTTGAACCCGGGCCCATCGCTATGGCAGTCAGAGTCACTAACCACTATACCGGCTGGGAGGCAGATGGACAGACACGAGTGATTTAAGACACAAATTTTTCTTCATAATGTGAATTATTGTAGCCAGGGGCAGATTCACTACTAGAACTTGAGCGATCTGTTCTGGAGTTTAATTTCTTCTAGCTCAGCTCTTGATGAACTTAATCTTCAGTGTAAATGGAAACACTACCTTTTGTCTCTTTGTGAATTGCTTGCAAGGGAAACATATTATATGACAATAAAAGGAAACACAACTTACATGAAAATGAACAATAAAGCTTATTTTGCAGTTAAAACAATAATTTTAGACAGAAATTTTTAATTAGTTATCCCCGATCAATATTGTAATAACTTAAACAAATTATTTGTCTGTCAAAAATGGTAAGCCATATAAACTCAAACTCATTACACCAGAATGAGTTTGAGTTCTTGGCATTTTGTGTCCCTCATATCTCGCATGATTTGGGGTTATATGAATACTTGAAAGCCAACACTTCATCTTGCGAATGTTTCAGATATGGTAGCCTTAAAGGAGAATTCCTTAAAATACAAAAATTCACCACATCAAACAATATTCACTTCATCAACATGTAACTAATTAGGATTTTCAAGTTATCAAATCATTCTTGTGCAAATTTTTCTCTTTTGCATTGCTTGTGCAAACAAACACAATTCACCTTTAAGCCGTCTTTGTTACTCATTTTTTTGTAAGTAAAAAGGTTACTCTTTTTTTACACACCACTATATTTGCTGCCAATGGAAGACTTATAGAAATTATTTCATTTTTCTTCATAAAGACCTCTGAAAATTATTTTACTTTTCCTCATAAATCTTTCTCCATGCCTTGACCAGTATAAAAAAATGTTTGGCAACATTCTGGAGCTTTGACAAAACTACAAAACATTTTGAGAAATGAAAACGAATGGCTAACCTGCGTAATACAGATATTTTTAACCAAATGAATTTCTTAAGAAGTGATCAGTTTTTTACTTCATGCTGAAACACTCAACTGTAACTAATATTTTGGACTAATTCACTACTGACCAAGTTATTCTATTATGTTACAGTGAAATATTCAGTTAATAAATAAATTCACTTTATGCTCAAAAATGGATGACTGCTTGAATGTGAATTCTTTCTGCACTGTTTACACAATAATAAATAGTTTTTTAAAATAATTCTACGTAAGTTATATACACATCTAATTTGCAGAACTTAAAGGAAAAAAATTACTGTTGAACTAGATGATGGTGTTGGATCTTCTTCCTCTATTTCAACAGATTCTCCTCTCTCTTTACATTTCAAAAGCCAATGTCGATACCAGGTATTTGAAGCAGCCATTTTATTTTGCCCACCATTTGAGCCATTCTGCTGCTCAAATAAAGTGTTTGCTCTAGCCCATAGCATTGTTTTTGTAACCTGCTGACCTATACATCAAAATCAAATACTTTAGAAAAAATATTTTCATGACAATCAAAAAATCCATAAACAATTTACTTGATAGTTCATATAATAACAAAATATAGTTTAATTATGTAGTTAAAAAAACAAAATAAAATTCAGTTACTCATTACAAATAATAAAACACAGATGACATTAACAACCAAATTTAATAATCAGCATGTCTTTCAAAAAATCACAAACTAATTACATTAATAAATATATTTTTATCAAGCATCTCACTCAAATAATAAAAGTTGATTTTTACCGCATCAATAAATATAAACTGTACCGGTGTGCTTATTTGTTCATAAAATATTTGGTTAAGATTATAGCTACCCAATTCAATAAAAGACTAAATCATAAAAAATGTCAGACTTGAGAAATAATGTATTGTTGCAAGCATATGGGTTCATAATGAATTGAATGCACAAGTGCAACGAAAAGTGAATAAAATTTATTCTTATCATAACAAATAAAATAAAATGCTGAAATTTTATCACAGATACTTGTACAATATCGCAATATCTCATAGTAGCTATATTTTAAACTACTAAAACGTTGAACAGAACTCGTTTCAAAACACTGAGAAAGCTAATCCAATCTCACTGCGAATTCACTACAATCAATAACAGCACTAAGTAAACAACTGAATTGAGATGTTTTGATGCGGCTTTTATAACTTTTCCTTGAATGCTCGGCTCAGTCTCATGAACTGTGTTCAGTAGAGAACTCCGATAATGGTTTCATTCAGTTTAAGCAACTCATGATACCCAACACCAAGCTGATCCTGCCATTTTTTTCCCAATGACTATTCGGCTTGGCTGTTGTTGAAACATGGCCAGGTGATCCCCATGAATTCTTCTTTGGGTTATTGTAGTGGATCTATTTTTTCAACACCAGTGACTATACAATGCGAAAAACCCTTTTGTTTATGCCTGGCAAGCAACATTTCACATATAAAAAATCAGCATTCAAAGTTTCTTGGCTTATATGGAATGTTATTTTCTTCTTTTTGAATTAATCCTAATGATTTTAAACAATGCAAAATTGCTTGTTGAGTTTTTCTTAATGTAAGTACAAATTCTACTTGCATTTGGCATGAACTTCATCCAATAATGCTTCAAATTCTGTATCTTTGTACACTTTTAGCCTTCTGCTACATGCTTTGTATCCAACCTCAAATTCACTATTCTTAAACTTTTGAAACTACTCACGGCAACTTCTCTCACTCAAGGCAGCCTCACCATATGCTTCAACGAGAAACTGATGCACTTCAGCTACAGATCTCTTCAAATTAAAGAAGTAAATCAAAAGTTCTCACAAATGACTCTTATTCAGCTTAAAATTTGACATTAAAAAAAAAAAAAAAAATGATGCTGATATAAAATCGTTAATATTTCAAGATTATATTGTTAGAAGATGTCCAACCTTACAATATGACATTTTATATCAGACAATTTTAACCCTAATTTACTGATTGCTCCATTTTTTGTCAAACGGCAGAGACTTCCAGTTCACTTTTGAAACAATCTGATAATCCCTTCCTTGATATTTTTATAATCTGCAATAGATCCAATTTCAGCACAACTGTTTACAGTAAACCCTTTTCTGTTTGTTTACCTCCCCATGCTACGTCATCTCACCCAGCTAAGCAAAAAAATGGCTTCTTTTTACTATTATGTATTTTGAGCTTTCAAAGTTTGTTTCTCAGAATCTCTTCTTGTTAATGAACTCAATTATTAATATCTGTTGCTCTTGACTGAGGATTTTCTCCCGTAGTCATTGATAAAGCTGTTCGAAAGTTCTCATCATGCTATCTAAGAATACGTTCTGATGTTACAAATAACATTAATTACCTTGGTGTGCTTCCATTTCATCCTTCTATCAGTTACGAAATTGTATGTATTTTACACAAGTTTATTTTCAAGTTGTTTTTTCACCTATAAATAAAATTCGAGGCTCGGTTTTTAAAGATTCTATTTCTGACTTTAATTCTTGGGGAATTTATAGCATATTGTGTCAGTGCGGCTTAAGTTATAGTGGCCAAACAAAAAGAGCATTAAAGTTTCGCATAAAGGAACATGAATCTTACATCTGAAAAGGCGAAATTAACAAATCTTCAATAGCTAATCATAGTTGGAAATTCATTCACAATTTTGATTTTGGCTCTGCTAAAATTATCCAGAAAGCTGGTTCTATTAGGAAATTGGATTTTCTTGAAGCTTTTCACATTCACAAAAATTTATCCTGTTTAGTCACTGACTTTAACTCCAATCCAGTCTTGCCTAATACCTTTGAAATTCTACTAACTTAACTCTTCATTTTTTGTTACTATTTCTGCCGACAGATGGCGCTATCGGCTCTTCCACTGGTCACCTGTAAGGTATAAATATGATTGACATTTGCTTTCTCAGAATTTTTTCTCCTGATGAAGGGAAACTCATTTTGCTCTCGAAATTGATTGAAATTTTACAAAATCTATGCCGAATACAAGGTTGTGGATTTGCCTGTTTTATTTTCCACATCGGCGTGTTTCTCTTGCATCTTGGCAGAGACCTATTTTTTAAAAAAAAGTAGCAGAAAGTACAAGAAATGATGGAAAAGCAGAAAATTCAGTTGTGGGAAGCTCTAAATTTGTTCTAATGGAAGAGTGAGATTTTTCATGTTTAAAAAATAGTTACTAATAGCATAATGAAGTAACTAAAGTCATCTTAACCAATTCCTCTATCGCATGTTATTAAGCAACTGAAAAGGCATACACACATGAATAATAATAATAAAAAAACTAGCTCATCGTAACTTTTACTGTTATTATGTAGTTTGACAGTGTCTTCTGCTTTTAATTTTACATTTACTGACATTTTTAATATTTTTCTCAGAGAAAGTTTAAAAGTTAAATAACTATATGTTGAATTCTGTTCTTTAAAAGGATCTAGGTTTCACTTTCAGCCATACTTCATACTTCTATAAAAGATAATTAGTCATATAACTAGAATACACTGTCATATAAAACTTTGAGAAAGGTCAGAAATATGGAATAACTAGCCTTAAATTAAATATACAGTTGAGTGTAAACCTTAAAAGCAGAAAAATCGCCTCTAGCCTTACTATTAAACGCTAATAAACTATGTTAGAGTCACTGGTAAATTATGAATATTCTATCCTTATAATCTATATCCTCTAATGGGGCAGCATGTGATGCAGGTACACTCTACATTGTGGTAGAGGAGAACTTCACCTGTATTCTGTCAACTGATGCAGCTATTCATCTGCATGCACTTAGAAGTAGATGGAAGATAAAAAGCAGAGTTGTATGCTTAAAGGAATTTAACTTCTTTACCATACTAGGAAGCTAATGAAAATGTGATGGGTCCATACTGCCAAGTTATTTCTACTTTGTGACAATTCTGTGATGGTGAATTTGCATGAGATACTTTTAAATCCCCTTGGAAAACTCTTATACACTGCACACTACCACAACATGCTGGCTGATCACCTGAATCTTTTTGTATGTCTGGAAAGGAAAAAGTTGATAATTTATTTGTGGAAAACTTGCTCTCTCACTTAAACCTAGCTTGAGAAACAATCGCCTCAGCTTCAGATTATATACTGATATTTACAAATCTTAGATTTAAGTTTTATGGTATTTTTCCAAGATGCTGTTCAGCAAATCAACAAATTCATGAAAGCCAGATTGAAATCTAGGGTAGTTATGTGTACAACGAAGAAACTGGCATAATTCTAAGTTTCTCCAATAACCAATGCTGTGCATATATAAAAAATATCTCTATGTATTTGCATGGGGGGAGGGACCAACATGCTAATAAGAGGTGTCTCAAATAGTTTTGAGGTAACTCTATGAGTAAAAATTTGTTTTAAAAATTAACAAACCTTGTTTCTTTAAATCTTTATACCACTTAAGTAATTCAAGATCAACCTCCTCAGTCAAACTATCATTCAGAACATGCTGGGTAGCATTAAGTAAATCTGTTTGCAAGACTTCTTTATCAGCTATCCATCGGCTAATCACCCGCCGCGCAATACCATATTTCCGCGATGTCGCGTGCTTCGTGTGACTCTGTGCAAACTTCACAACCTATAAAAAAGCAAAACAATGAGATTTTATTAAAATTACTATCTGCATACAAAAAAAAAAAAAAAAAAAAAAAACTAATTATAAATATACATATAGCTAGAATACACTGTAAAACAAAATCTATATACAGTGTGAAACAAACAGTGAGTATAGAATATTGTGCAGTAATATGTACCACACTTAATAATCACAGCTTTCTCGATTCCAAAATAATGCACTTATTTATTAAGCATTATTATGGAACATATCTTCACACAGATATGCAACTACTCATGTCGTATGACATAGATTTTTATACCATAAATGCAAGCTTATACCACAAGAAGGTGTTTGAATCAATGTGTTATCTGCTGCAGTTTTCAAGCTGAAAATACAACTCAGCTAATGGCAGATCTATCTTCTTTAAGTTTTACTTTGATTAGATTTTTTTTTCTTCCACATTACTTTATTTTATGGGAGCATTAACTATCATACTGGTACGGAAGCAAAAATCATTAAATGTCTCTTCATTTGTTTTATTATTAAAGCTTAAATAATTTGAAACATTTGAAACTAACTGAAAGCCTTTCAGCAAAATCTATCCTTGCAATCTTTTGCTTATACAGGCAAATTGTGTGAAATTCATATGATTGCAACCAACTTTATAGGAACTAATAATTAATAAAGAGACTCAGTGCCCTTAAACGCTTTGCTAGGGCAAGGTGGGGTTGCACTGGACAAACCCTGCTCCAAACTTATCATTTGTTTATCCTCTCCCTTCTGACTTATTGCTGTAAACCACTTGTTGTGACCGTAGAAAATGTACTCTAGAAAAATCCAAAATCAGTGCCTACGTATTGTTTCTGGAGCCGTGAAGACCACCCCGATTGACGCTATGTTTATGTTAACTGGTGATGACCCTTAAGAACTGTAATCCAAGAGACGGCCTTAATTCTCTGGGAAAAGATCATTAGAGTTCCTGGATGTCTTTCACACTCTGAAGTCAATCAAAATCTGACTAGAAATCTAAAGACCCAGATGAGCTTTCTACAGAGAGATTTTCAGTTAAAAAATTCTCTTGGTTTAATGAATGAACGAGAATTACTTGTTCCACTACAAAATCCAATAAATTTGAAATCTTTCTGGATTAATCTTGACCTGAGTCAAAAAGTAACAAAACGTAATACGGATCCGTCTATTTTGAGAGCCCTCGCTTTTGAAGTATTAACTATTTTTTACCCTGAGCCTGTGAGTGGCTTTGGATCTTCACCGATGAATCCCTCCTGTCTGATGGCCCTAATGCAGGTGCCGGAGTTTTCTCCAAAATTTTCTCTTTCTACATCCATATAGGTGGACCAAGGTTCTGCGTTTGATGGCAAAATTGCTGCGATTTGCACAGCTCTGTACCAGCTACAATGCCACTTGGAAAAATTCTCAAGAGCTGTTATACTCTGTGATTCTCGAGCTGCTCTGCTGGCTATCATTTCAGAAAAGGGTGCTTTAATCATGCTGAATGTTTCTCGTCCTTTACCTTTCCATACTGTTAGGGATCTTATTAAAAGTACATGTTCAGGAAGATCTCTATCATCGTGTTTCTCATAAGTCTTGGGAAAATGCTATCCCGAATTTGTGTAATGGCCCAAGGCGTAGAATGGTCGCTGAATTCCGCATTGCCACCGGACATGACTGCCTACAGTATCATCATAGATTCAAAATTGTTCCTTCTCCGATATGTACTTTGTACAGCTCTGGAGAGATGATGGATGCCACACATCTACCCCACTGTCCTGCTCTGCACAAGACTTTTCTCACCGAGCATTACTGGGAGGCAAGAGATATATTAGATTAATAGACTCTGTTGCAGCTGGTTTTTTTTTTTTTTTTTTTCTTCTTCATTGTATTGCTGTATTCTATATTCTTTTTTTTTTCCCCTGTAACTGTTCATAATCTGCCATTGGAAATTAAAAAAAAAAAATAATAAAGAAATAAAGAGAGCATTATCTGCTGTTCAACACAATGAGCATTTTCTATGTTTATTTCTTCCCAGAATGTTAAGTGATTATTTAATAAGTCCTCTGTGCTCATTTAATGTCCAGGGAAGAAAGGATTAAATCTACAAAACATCATTTAAAAACATGTTTAGGAATACTTGTTTCAACAATGGAGGAATTTTTTTAACTCTAATAACAAAAACTGAATCTTAAACCATTGGTACCAGCATCAAGATATTTCAATAACTTGGAAGCTCTAACAGTAGGATGCTTTTCCAGAACCTGACTTAATTCAAGAAAAGATAATCTATGGTGACTGATGGAGGAATATACAGATGTTGTTTTAGCACTTCTAGAAATACAGGCGTAGTAAGTATTTGTCAAGGTTATGAAGACCTAAATGGTAAAATTTATGAGATCTAAAATTTGGTGGTATGGTGTTTATTATAACCAAGAATATGCTTCTCTTATACTGAACTCTAGGGAGCACTATTAAAGATTACCTTTAGAAGGGTGACAGTCAGAATGGTACATCAAGTGACCAATTTTAAAACATTACTACTTAATTCATAATGTTTACACACCTTTAGAGAATGTTTTGTCATCATTTTCAGTTCTGTTTATCGAACTTTCAACTATTCTTACAGTTACTGTTTATCATATGAGCCTCCTTGGGCTTCAAGGCTAAGAGAATATTCAAGGTTATGTAAATTTTGTTTATCAGGCTGAAGAGTAGCACAAAAGTAAAACAGAGTTCTAGAAAATACACAAGGGCTTGCAACTTCAGTTTTTTAAATGGCTGGAGTTCAAACTGCACGTGCAACTATGACAAGATTTTGCAGGATAAACTTTCGAAGGCTTCCGCATATTCGAAGGCTTCTGCATACTGTTGTTCTTCAACATGTATGATGACTTCATAGAATTAATAAAATGAGGTTCAATATCTCATGTCTTTGAATTTCTACTGCAATTTTAGATATCAGCAAATCTACACACATATCACTATACATCAAAAACAGAACATTGCATCTGTATCTTTCTTATGCAAAATCGTACCATATTCTGAGAGGATATGCTTTAAAATATTGAAGGAGTTGCATAAGATGTTCTATGACAAAAAGTTAAACACAGCATTAGTAAATTTTAGTTTTGATTTAAATACCATGTATTAAGTGTAGACATAAAACAAAGTTACAGGTAATAAAGTTTTTATTAGTTTTGCATGGACTCTTTTTTTAGTTTTGCTGTTCTGGTTTTCTTCACTTGTTCTGTTTAGAATTGTCTTTGTAATCTGCAATTAGAAATATACACACACATATATATATAAACGTAAAGTTATGATGCAACCGCATAATTGCATAAGGGAAAATACCACCACATTTTATATATGACATTCTACATTTTACAGTGGTATGATACTACACATAGAACTGCAATTTTAAAATAATAAAAGACAAACATATTGCATGCTATAAAATTCAAGAGCAATGCAACTATTCTTTAAAGGGGAATTAAAAATTAACATACTAGAATAATCAGAATTACATAGACAGGTAAAAGATAAAGAGGATAAAAAGACAATTCTATTGCACTCTCACCTCAAGCTTAAAAGCTAACGTATACGAACGTCGTCTACGCTTGCTGCTAAACGAGAATGAAGAGAAAGAGTCTTCTCGATCAGATGCGCTGGGTGATGCATCCAAAGTGCGACTGCTGTCAATTAAATCTTGTACTTTGGATGTTTTTTTGTTTCTTAGAGCTAACATCTGAAGTTCTTCCCTATCAACCTGGAAAAGGCTTGTTTCCAAAATCAGGCATGTATTTTCTGTTAATGGCTGCAAAAAAGAAATATAAATAAAAAAATAAAATAAACAAACATATTAGAAATTTTCCTTAGCAAATAAAATATCACTAACTAGAGTTTAGTTCTTAATCTTGTTATATAAAGCAAAGCAATATTCTAAAATGCTTTTGCATCTAACATAGTTTTATAACCTCAGCAAATAAAGAAGTAAAAAGTATTTTACAATTTGTTTTCTGTGACAGATAAATGTTACATTTAATGCACTTTTATTCTTTTTAAAAAACCATTACAACAATAAGCTTGCCAACTTTAAAAATAAACAAAATTTAATTTTGGACTGATGTTAGTTTCAAATGTCAAATCTCACTGCATTTTATGATTTATTCCTATGTTTCTGCACAAAAGATTATATATATATATGTGTGTGTGTGTGTGTGTGTGTGTAAGATATAAGAAAATACGATAGCTGCTTTAAAAATAATAAGTAATCTCAAAATTAACATTCTAGATTTAATGCTCTCCCCCTAAATTCATCTGTTCTCCCAAATTCGAGATCTTCCTACATTATATAACGCTACTGGAAAAGGGCAACTAAAACTAGTATTAACCAATCATAGCTTGCCTCTACAATTACATCACACATTGTATAAACACTCTTGGTGCAATAACTACGTCACTATTCTGCTGCATTCCTTTCCTAGCTTCCGCCTTTCAAACATCTCTGTTTTGTTATGCCCTCCTTTGTTCTTATTCTAAGATGATATAATGTACATATAAAAAATATTGTAATTGCTTATGATCTAGAAATATCCTACCTACTAAGAAATGATTTGATTATGTGCAAAAATAAAGCTGGGCGATTTATAGAAATCCAGTTTATGTTATAAAAAATATTGTAATTGCTTATGATCTAGAAATATCCTATCTACTAAAATGATTTGATTATGTGCAAATATAAAGCTTTGTGATTTATAGAAATCCAGTTTCTGTTATTTTCATCAGTATGCATTAATCATCAGCCATGACGGACACTGAAAGCTGTTAAGAGTTCCAGTATTCAACTGCACATTCAAAATCATTACACACACACACATATATATACGTATAATATATTAGCATATTAATTTTACTTAACAGCTAAAAAAATTACTTAATATTCTGAACTAGTATTATAGTGAACTGTTAAAACTCCTTAGCTGATATTAAAAACTGTTGTTATTACAGTAGTACAGCTTGGCTGCTGCAACTAAATTAGACACGCTAAACTATTGCAATGAAATTCTTTTAAATGCCCCAGCAGATACTATAAATAGTTTAGAAACTGTGAAAAACCAAGCTCTTTGCCTGATTACAGGAACATTTAAGTCTAGTCCTACATTGGCCATGAAGTCGCAAAGTAACCTAAACTCAGCTGAATAAAAAATGCCATAATTTTGCTACAAAAACTTTGGAGATGTCCTCATAATTACTACTGGAGAAACTGTAACTTCAAAAATACAAATAGTGTTTATATATTTTTAGAACAATTTCGATAAAGAATTTTTTTAAAAAAGTAAATGTCTTGGAGCAAAAGTTTCTGGCAACAGCTTATTATATGAAATGAGAAATATGACATTCTACTTTTATTCTTATTTCAATGCTTATTATTTGAAATATTATTAACGAAACTATGGAGCCTTTCAGATTTCAGAAACACCCAAGTGAATCTTGATCTTGTCTTAAAAGTTAACAAAGAAGAAATGGGCGACTCCACAACTCTAAATCCAAACCATAACTACCAAAAGCAGATCTGAGAATCAATAACTTGCATATATACTCATAATTTAATGAAGGACAGGGACAAACAACGCAGCTGGTACACACATGAAACACATTTCTTTTTATAAAGCAGTCAGTGCTAACATCACTAGTTTTTAGGAGAACTAGGAGCTATTCACATATATGGCCCTGCAATGGCTTTGTTGGTCATAGGACTTCTTTCTCGAAAGCTATCATCTTCTTGGACTCTTGATCTGTCCTTCGGAGTCAAAGCCAACACTAGAACTTGCAACTCGTACACATATTATGAATGCAGACATCTTTTGAATACTTTTATTGATTGAACAGCACTACTGTGGGTATCAGTGCAATGTGAAGTACAAGGAAACGAGTGCAGAATTTTTTGTCAAGGAATGGAAGGACCTGTCTTCCAAAATTCCAGTAATTTTATGAACTTTTGTTCTGCTAAGAGATTGATAAATATAGAGTTTAGCAAGATTCACTATTCAGACTTGTGCATAAAAGCTATGGGGAAGGGGAAAAAAAAAAAAAAACTGGCAACGTCTCCTGCACAAGGGATTTCTTGATTCTCCTTGTGCCACAGCTCCTCATATATTAATTGGATACTTATTTCCTCAATGCTAGTGTCTTTTACAGCTGACACAGAAATTTTACAGAGTGCTCTTTTTGTAATTCAGGACATACAACATTAAAGCATGTACTTTGCACTTAATAGTTTTAGTTCCATCAGCCAGAAGTACTGGGAAGGAAGACAGCTAATGAATTAAGTAAAAAGAGCCAAGCATTAATAAATAAATAAATACTATCATCCAGTTTCCTATATCTTCCATTATCATAACTCTACATAGTCACCGACACATCTCAAGCCTTCCAAATTTACGCACTGTTATTGCAATTTTGGAAGTGGAACAATACTACATGTTGTTTTATTTATCTGGATTTCACTCTTTACCATATTATTTTTTACTGTTATTTAGAATTAAGAGTGACACTAATTTTCAAAAGGCCTAGGACTTTTTTAATATAAATTACTACTAGTTACATCTGCATTTTATATAATTTTTACTTACTAAAGATTTCATAGGAATACTTAGGTTCCATAAGGGGAGAATGACAGACTACAAAGGTAATTTCTGAGTGAATTGTAATAATTTTTTAAATAAACATATGATAATCTGAAAATATTTTTCTTTCTCAAAACATGCATATGCCAATATGAATTGCCAATTCCAATCAAACTGTAAACTGGTAATTGTAAGCTTTTCCCAACAAAATGAAATTTCACAAAATTCAATGCCTAATGTATATGCTACAAATTTATAAATCCCCTTTGAATCCTGTAAAACCTGTCAGTAAACAAGTTAACTGTTTACATAGCTTCGTGCTAAATGATTAGTACATGGAAATTAATTGAAAAATTAAGTCTATACATTGGGGAGAAAGCATTCATGATAATGACAAATGTTAAGGCAAAAATTTAATAATATATTTATTCAAAATTGACACTTAGCAAATTTTTACCGATTTAATTGTTGTCTCACTAAAATTTGCACAATATTAAATTAATCCATATTAAAACTAAAAGGTCTGCATGTTCTTGAGAAAACACTCTTTTTTTAGCTTGAATATTTACATGTTCTCAGCATTTAATACTTGGACTGGTTTAAATTTACACAATACTTAAGAAGCATGATTTTTTTTTTTTTTTTTAAATACCTGAGGAGTACTTTCCATAACGCTTCGGAAACAGACTTTAAACTTCTGACACCAGTCAGTTAGCCACGCAGTGCTAATGGTTGATTTAGTGGATGAACTTGCAAGTTGTGCTTGCTCAGCACGGACAATAAGATCTCGCACTGTAACCTGGAAATTTTCTTCCAGCAGCTTTTTTAATGTCACATACAGATCACACTCCCAATCTTCTACTTTGTGTGTATTTACATATTCATTTAAATACTCTTTTGCTTGACACCAAATCGAAACACGTTTTTCACAAACATGGAATTCCCGTGACGCTTCTTTTTCTCCTTTATCTTCAGCAAAAATGACTACTCTATGCTTGAAATAGGCAGGAAATACTACCTCAGGCCTTCTTAATACTTCAGGTTCATATTTGTCAGATGCATCAGAATCATCATTATATAACATTTCAAGTTCTTGAGATACTTGCTGCCTTTTATCTTCCCCTAGTTCTTTACCACCCTCCATTTCATCATCTGGTGTCCTTTCTGGAGTCCCTACCATAGACAAATCTTCAGTCCTGTCATCAAAACTCGTATCAAAACTTCCATCAGCAGAAACCTGGCCCCCTTTCTTTACTTTATGAACAATGTTATCCTTTGTTTTACACCACATACTAACTTTTTCAACACAAATATTGTACTTTTTAGCAGCAGCACTTTTGCCAAACCGTTCCGCATGTTCAACAACTTCCAATCGAAAGGTTGCTGGATATGTTACATATTTTCTCCTGCGCTTGGGCCGGGATCCTCTTCTTTCACCATCGAAATCTTGACAGCTTCTTCGATCACTTTCAGTTCCACTAAGATTTCGACTGTGATTTAAACTTATGCCCTCCCGCAGCCTCTCTTCTAAAAAAGGATTAGAGTTAAAAATACGCTCGGATAAGAGAGTCTCTAATGGGCTCCCTTGATTTAAATGACGTGAACTTTCCCTAATGCTATCTACAGAAGGTGCTGTTTCTACTTTGAAATTATTAAAATCAAATTTATTGTTATTTGATATAGTGTCTCCTGTGATTGGAAAATGAGCAGCCCAAAAACTACTTTCCAAAGATTCTTTAGGAGGTGTATGATTGTTTTCTTTCCTTATTTCTGTATGTTCTGGAGGTCTGTCATTAGTCCATAGGGCTCTAATATTCTTTCCAGAAGTGGTAGTCGCCTGTTTAGATAAGGCATGGTCCTCTATGTTTTCAGATTCTTCTATATCATCGTAAAAATCCATGTGATCCTCATCTTCATCTTCAGACTGTTGAATATATTTCTGTGGTTTTGCTGACTTTCTTTTCCCCATGATTTAACTGCAAAAATAAAAATAATAAATCATTAATAAATCTGATGTTTAATAATAAAACTATTTTATAATTTTTTTATAGAAAAACTGGTTTACATCCTTATTTTATTATTATTAAGAATTTGGCACCCTGAAATTCAGCACTCTAGGGTATCCCACACATGCTCAATCGGGCTAAAACTGGGTGAGTAAAGTGCCTGATCTATTTGAGTAATATCCACTGTTTGCAAGTATTCTGATGCCACACATGCTTGATGAGACAGAGCATTATCAGCCATTAGCAAAAATTCCGGGCCATCAGCACCCCCTAAAGGTTCTATCTAGTCCGAGGCAAATTAAAAGAAATATATCTTTATATATTATATAACCATCTTCTTTTCTACTTTGTTTAAATATTATTTTTTTCTTCCTTTTTTCCAAAGGACTGATGATCTTTTTACTTTCTCTATTTTTGTTCTACAAAACATAAATTGACGGAAATAGCAAGCACAGGCAGCTTTCAATCGGTAAAGTGTTATAAGCAGAAGTTCTTTGTTAGTTATAGCTGTAGATTGGTGCCAACAAGCGTGATTTCTTTCTCAGGGAGCAGGACATACGGAAATCCAATATAGGTGAATTAGACCTTACAGACAGGCAGACTGTGACCAATTATTTGCCACTTTTGGCCTTCACTTAAATGATGCCTTTCAGCCTTAACTATAGAATACTTATCGCTCTCAGAAACCACATTCACTTTAAACAACACTACACATCAGAATTCCAACATGCTAACACACCACATTGTCAGTCACCGTAATTTACATATTCCCTGTGCTATGCACTAAAGTACAATTTTGTGTTTAATTGTATTTAATTAACATAAATAACTACAGTATTGGGCAATGGTTGCAACATTAACTTTGTGAGCATATTTTTTCTCATTATCTTTTAACTTTGATGATCAGTGTGATTTAGAAACTTCTGTTTTATGGTAACAATGTAAAGAATATTATCAAAATTGATGTCTTTGCAAATACACACATATTAGTGTGTCTTTATGCATGCCTCTAAATCAGTTATAAACTATTTCTTCAGAAATAGTACACACTGCATATTTTTCCCCTCCCAGTTTTCAAATGATAAAATGAGTTAGAAAGGGGGAAAAAAAGCCAGTAATAGTAAATATAGTAATATAAATTTACATTACTGTTAAACAATTTAAACAAGAAACATCAAGGATAACAAAATTTTTTCAATTAATGTATTTACCAGAGACAGACAAAATTAGTCTTTTATGGGATTGGATCAGAACCATTAGTTCACTGAACTGAATCAATTCTTTATGACTCAGTGCTCACTAACATCAACCTTTATGGAAAACATTAGGAACGAGAAGTATATCAATAGAGGTCGATAAAATTCGAAGGAATACTGCATTATTCTGTGCTTTATGCTGTCAGCTAACCACAGGAGTGCTAACATTTTCAATATGATAATGCCCACTGTTACAGACTTTCTCAACCAAGTGGCAATCCCAAGTGACCAAACACTCTTATGTCTGGGACATGGTCAGCTGCTGAGAGCTGTTTTAAAAATATGTCTTACATCAAATTACACCAAATCTGGCAGAACAACCTTCAGAAGAGCATCAGACATCTCTACATATCATGCTAGATTGTATTTCCACATGTATCACTGACTGAGGTGGCCCTAAAGCCACGTTAATCTGCAATGGTTTTGCACAATTCTGGCTGCAATAATTGATGTTACCAATTTCCGAGCTGTTCTCATGCTTTCCTCATTTTCTCCTTTGATATCTCTGACCAGTTTCCACAGAATCCAACAATTTTTCCTCAGTACATGAAAAAAAAATTTTTGTTACAAAGTGTATATTCTACTTTTCATATAATCAAAATGCATATGTAGGGGGACACAACTTCCCTAATTTAAAAAGCTAAGGCATTCTGAAAAACTTAACATGCATTTTCAGCATCACAGAAATAAATTTTCTTTTTTAACGTGACTTAAGAACTAACATTTTGTACAGTTCCTGGGACACTATTTAAACTACTTCAATAATTTTTAATAGTTGTTCAGTTGTTAATTTTCATGCAGGCACCTCAACACAGTCATCTTTGTTTTGCTGCTCATTTATGTTACCAAATGTTTCATTAAGTACCGTATCATATAACTAAAACTGACAAAAAGAGACATGACTGTATGAAGGGGGAAATCATCTATGCATTAAAAATAATTTTCTATACCTAATTTTGTATAAGTTATTTTGGTGAACTGAAACTTTGTTTGTTTTGAACCTTTCAAACCAAACTAATGAAAATGAGGCATTGCTATATATATATATATATTTCTCCTCCATACAAATTGGATATTTACTTATTATAAGTTCAAATTAAACAGAAATCATTCATTATGTAAAAAAAAATAATAATAATAATTAAAACGTTTTTTTAAATGCAAAAAAAACCATACATAATAAAAAAAATTGTGAAACAATTACGGTTATGATACTCAATATAAATTTTATTTTCAGCAACATTATAAATGGTATTTTAATACTTGCAGTATCATGACAAAAATTCAAAGACTGTTTAAAACTAGAACAATTAAAATTAATTGCAAAGGGGGAAATATTTCTTTAAAAGAAGTATGACTAACTTGATTCATTATGGATATGAATAATAAAGTCCACACTTCTTTACTTTCTCAAAAATGACCATCAGAACTTAAAAAAATAAAATAAGCTTTTTAAAACTATAAAAATATTTTAGATTCAGATTTTCTGAATATAATATTTAGGGAAAGAGTACACACAAAGGCAGAAATTATACAATAAATTTAATTAAATCTATATTATTTACATGAAATTTTGCAACACTGTTTACAAAAGTTTGTACTCATTTAAAATATCAGTACTAAAACAGAAAGCATTCTTAGCATGCCAATAGAAAATACTTCGAATTTTCCTTATTCTTAAGTTTCTTACACATAAAGCAACTGCTAGACTGAATTTTTACAAATGATATATGATTATATTTATATTCATAGCAAGAACTTTCATGTCCATAAAAGCATTGCTAGGAGCTGTAAGGTAGATCATGATTGGTAACAAAATTAAAGTTACTGTTCTTACTGGCAACGAAATTAAAATTAAATTTTAAATAAAGTAATTTGTTTGACAAAACACTATTACAGCTGCCAATTCTTATTTCTTTGTACAAATTATTATAATCACGAAAAATTTCAGGTATTATAATTCAACAGACATATCAATTCTGACCATTCTCAAATACATTTGGATGATTTTTTTTGTGTGTGTGTGGGGGGGGGGAGGTATGTACAGACAGAATAAAGAACTTTTTTTTCCAAAACATATTGTAAAATGGACTTTTTTTCTGAAAACTGTATGCGTGTGTCTAAGTACATTGCATAACTCAAAAAAGATTAGCTGAAAAACATTGAAATTTTGTAAATGGGACTACTGCTGTGCACCTCCCCTTTTTTTGTTGCAATCGGCACTATTAAACACACACACATATATAAACCTAAACTCTTACCCTGCCTTTATTTTTGTAAATGGTGGGCCACAGTCAGATACTTCCAATTACAGAAGTACGTATTTTGCACAATTCAAAAAGTAGTTGTAGAACATTGAAGTTTTGTATACGGTACTACTATTGTGCACCTCCTTTTTTTTTATTGCAATCGGCACAACTAAACACATATAAACCCAAACCCTTACCCTGCCTTTATTTTTGTAATGGCTGGTCAAAGTCATATACTTCCAATTACAGAAGTGTTTTAAAAGACAAAAATATTCATGTTTGGGCAATGTCAAAATTAAAAAAAAAAAAAAATTAATTTTCAAAAAATACTAAAATCTAACTTTTAATGCAGTCTTTCAGTTCATATACTTATATTCGGGAAAGTTTTATACTCATTACGAAAAAATAAAATTAGAAGTTTGACTCTCATACGACAAAAATTGAACAGGATATTTAATTAAAACAATTTACAATTTTTGATGTCATTTTCAATTTGCCTTAAAGGATTATTAATTCAGTTAAAATAATTCAAGGAAATAAGTTTAAATGAAGTGCAGCAAAAAATGTGTACAATTCAATAAGACCGTATAAAAAAGTTATGTGGTGTCCACAGACACTTTTCTTTTCCTTTTTGCTTCCTTGTACGAAGTAAAAAGGAAGTATTGTAATCGTGAAAAGTTTCAGGCAGCATATTTCAACGAAAATATCAATTTTGATCGTTATCGAATGCAATTTAATGATGTTTTTGCATGATATCGGTACGTAACGACAGAATAAAAGACTCATTTCCTCCAAAAAAATTATAAAACTGCTTTAAAATTAATTCTGAAGAGAATTTTTCGTGGCCTCTGTACGAACGTATGTACGTACGTGCGTATCTCGCATAACTCAAAAACGAGTAGTCTCAGAATGTTGCAATTTTGTATATAGGACTGCTATAACATGTAGCTGTGCACCTCGTATTTTGGTTGCAATCGGCCGCACCAAACGTATATAAATATATTTATATATACATCCACTTTGTTACCCCGCTCAGTGATCTCAGTTCCTTTACTCTTATATGTTTGTAAATTGTACATTTTTTGCTTTAAAAATTATTTAATTGTGTTGTTTTTATCTTCCGGTTAAGGTTTTTATGCCTTTAGTAAATCTGTGTGCAATGTTTTTAGAATTATCAACAATTTTGATAAGTTGTTTAAGTGCCGCTAAGCCTTTTTTCTGATGGCGGCCATTGATGTTCACATTTGAAACATGAGACTAGCGGATTTGTTGCCAATCTAGAGAAACTTAGCTTCACAACAACAAAGATAACGCCTTCATTTATTATCGCCAATTAAATCATGCTTAATTCTTTCTGGAATTTTTTCGAGGAAATAAGTGTTTAAGATTTACTTCGTAATTTTTATATAGATATTTGAAGTTTTTATGTATTTTTGCCTTCTCGCGAAGTGAGAACTGAATTAATTGAATGAGAAATACTCAATCGTCTGTGAAAATTGTTTCTTCTTTGTTTTGTTTGCTTAATTTCTTTTATACATCATTCTAGCTTTATAGTATTTGAATAGAACATGTGGCAACGATTAGATAATTCTATTCTTTAAATGATATAAATTTTGTGCATTATGAGTTATAATATGAACGAAATATAATACTGTTAAGTGAATCTAGCGCCAGAGTGTCGCTATGGTAAACAAATACTAGAGTGAATTTTAAAGAATGCATTTATTCTATTGTGGTTTATGCGCTGTCGGTGAAGTAGATTTAACTCAATCCAATAAGTTTAAATGAAATGCAAGAAAAAATGCGTATAATTTAATATTCCGTACAAGGAAGTCATGTGGTGTACAGATGAGATTTTTTAAAATTTTCAAAAAGGAAGATTCCCAAAACAGCATAAACCTTAATTCCGAAAACAGCAAGACGAGTTCGTTAAATCTGCATGTACATTCCACAGCTCATTTGGGCTTCTTGTACTGCAGAAATCTGTAGAAAGATTTTTTTTTTTCCCCCTTTAAAGGAAGATATAAAAAGAGAAAAAAGAAAAGGAAATACTCACCCCCTTTAGTTATCTGACCTTCCCCTGTTTCCTCTATTATTAATAATTTAGAGTTCATATCACTGATATAAAAAGAACCCCTTCATCGAAAAGACAATCGGGCTAACAAAATAGGAAAATGAATAAAAAATCAGGGAAAAAAATATTCTAAAAAAATGAAGAAGCAGCACACATAATCATTCATTACATATAATACTACCATATACATATACTTTTATTTAAAAAAATTTCTTAAATTTATTTTATGGATGTGAAGGAGACGGAAATTATTGCAAAAATAAGCAATGTCAAAATTGTTCCACAACTTATTGGTTAAAAGAGATTTAAAAGGGGTGTTAGGAATACTGATCCAAATGCTTTCTAAATTATCTCCATTTGAATTTAATTCTTAAGAAATATATCTACTCAAGAAGAAAATTCAAATAATTTATAATAAAATGCCACTCCAGGCCATTTATTTTAAGTAGCACATTTGCATACTAAAATTCTCGAAGTACAAACTATATTAGTATGAATCTATGAACGATTGTTCAACTGCAATATACAGAGTGATTATGATTAAAGTTGCAATTTCAAAATGCTCTGACAGGTAGTAGTTTTACAGTTACAAACTTTAAAACTACCTGTCAGAATGATTTGATATTTTACCAAAACAATTGTGAGGCAATGAATTTTGTTTGGTGAAGGAAAAAAAATAGTTCCAAAATATGCCGAAAGATGGCACTATCACAAGTAAGTCCTAAATGGATTTGTTAAATACAGGAATGCTGTTAGCCGAAAGGAAATGAAAGACTTCAAGGCTTTAAGACAAATTTATTAGCAAAAAGACAAGAATGCGTGTTTACAGCAGAAACAGTGATAGTGACAAGAGGAAAAAAGGAGCTTCACAAATGAAACACCTTATGGATGATTAACGCATAAGTTATTTGATTAAGCCTTGTTAAGCTACTATTTGGAAGTGCAAAACAGCATGCTCCACAACTGATCAGAGGGTATCTGTGTTGATACTATGAATGTGGAACGTGATGCTTGCCTCCAAGTTGGCTGGGCTGGATACGCTATCTGGCCACTGTAAACAACATTTTTCAAGTATCCCCAAAGTTAAAAATCAGACGGGATTGTTGTTGGGAAACATGGAGGCTGTGCTGTTGGAAAATGGTAGCTTAACTAGCCATCAGCGGCTGTTTCACACAAGTTTTCACACAAGTTCACACAATTGTGTTTCACACAATGTGTGGAGGAGTGCCATTTTGTGCGATCTACATACTGACGTTTAAATGCCAGAAGGACATGGCTAAGCAAAAGTGCTTCATACCGCTTGCCAGTAACAGTGCAGGTAACGGAACCTGCAGGTGTGTAATCTCCTCAAAGAAGAATGGACTAATGACAAAACAGAAAAGCTTCACAAGCAGAGCACGATCCTTCTTTGTCAGAGTCAATGAAGCACTCAAGCAAAGCAGTATGTGTCCTGCTAATACTCTGCATTTTTATCACAGCTATGTCTGTGGTACGCATGTCACACCTTAATAATTTGCATATTTCCACAACAGCAATATAAACTCTGACAGTGCCATGTATTGCCATATTTTGGAACTATTATTTCCTTCGTGGAACAAAATTCCATTGCTTCACAACTGCTCTGGTAAAATATCAAGTCATGCTGACCAGTAGTTTTAAAGTTAGAGGATTTTGAAATCGCAACTTTAATTATAATCACCCTCTATATATAAATACAGGGTGATTATAATTAAGGTTCCATTTTTAAAAGACTAAAAAAAGAACCACTGGTCAGAATGACCTGAATATAAAAGTAGCAATAGAAATTTAGCTGGTTAAAAAAATTAAAATTTTATTAAAAGATAGCATTTTAAAAGATATCACAGACCATTAAAAACCTAATAAAAAATGTACATACAGTTTCCATTATTCTGCATCTGAAACATTCACCACGACTTTGCTAATTAAGGGTAAGGGGGTCTGCTTGAGAAGCCTTTTTAAAAAAATAGTGACTGTGCTTCAAATGTTCTGAAAACATTTGAGACATTAATGAGTATAAGACGTGGCTCTTGTACAATGCTTGTCAAGCATCTGTGGAAGATAATTCATAAACTCGAAAAGACTAGTTTATTTACATAAGATTGGGCAGGAAGAAAAGCAATTGCTGAAGCATCAGTGGAAGATGTAACTATAGCACTGTAATAAGAGACGAGAAGTAGTGTGGGAATATGCACTGCAAGGAGAATTTCCTGACCTTTAGATGTGCCTATTAGCACAGTTTGTTAAATTTTATAAAACATTCTGCAATACTATCCATTCAAAATTACACACATTCAGAAACTGCATCTAGCTGACCTGCCAATTGGACAAACTTCTGCCGTACAATATCTTGCTCTAATGAAAGTGAACAAATATATGGCTATGTATGGAATACAGACAAAACCCATTTCCATCCCCAAGGTTCTGTCAATATTCAAAATCACAGAACATTGTAGACACTGAACCATAGCTGCAACATATATTCATTAACGTCCAGATCATTTTCAGGGCAAATGAAGCATAGTCAGTGTTCTTAATAAAAAAGTTCACAAGTAGACCCCGATCCTTCACCTGATAGTTTATGATGAGCTTCTCAGAAACAGAATAACCAGAACTGCATCTACTCTTTTTTTATAAGTGGTGTGCATGTCACATCTTTTAAATAGTATATTATGAGACATACAGTGCCATCTATTGATAAAATGTTGAGTTATTTTTTCTTTTTCTAGATGAATTCCCATTGCTTCATGTAAATTCAGGAAAAATTTCAGGTGATTCTTTATTTACAGCCTTTTGAAAACGGAACTTTAACTACGGTCACTCTCTACGTTTGTGTGTATGCATACATAAATTACATTAAAGTTAACAAAACTGTTAACTTAAAAAAAAAAAAAAAAAAAAAATTAGATCAACTGAATTTCTATAAACTCACTCGCAGTAACCTTACTTTAGTATATATGACAGCATTACAGATTTTCACTTCCCTCCTGTAAACAGATACACACTTATTTATTTATCAATCACAATTTTTTTATACAAAAGCACATTATGATACACAAAACTTTTCTTCTAATCTTTAGAAGAACTTAGATTATTTAAAAATATTAATACATTACAACAATCAGAAACAAATTTACGCTGTGTACGATAATATCAGATTAAGGTGCAGATAGTATGGCTATCCAAGGTAGTAGGTTTAATGAGGTGATAAACAAATCAAAAATTAATAAGAATTAATTATTTTACTAGTATTAATACAGATAATAGTCTTAATAAAAGTACTATTATCTTTTTTCATCAACCATTTGTAGAAATAAAATCTGTCACCAACAGTACAATTTACCACTAATAACGAACAAACATGATATCAGATACTTTATCCATTGATTATCTAATTAAATAAAGAGGATCTGTTGCTCCTAACTTTTTGACAGAAATGCTTAACCAATTCTGATCTCATATTTATTTAAGTTTTTATACACTTTATCCATAATTCATATCTGCTGATTAAATAAAGAACAATCTGTCTTTCGAATTTCCATGGAATGATTACAGCAAATTTGGTTAGACTTCATCATCTCATAGCTGACAGGAAAATAAAGTACCAGGTATATTTATGAAAATATTTTACAAAACTTACTTCTTTCAAAATGAAGACGGTTAGAAAAAGTTAATGAATTAAATCTAACAGCATGCAAAGTAACTCAAAAAAAAAAAAAAAAAAAAAGAGTACTCGGTCACAGGAAATTTTCAAGCACTCAGAAATAAAAGTTTCAGTTGGTATTCCAAAGTTAAATATCTTTTATAGTGTTTTGTGTTTGAATACCATGTTAATTCTTCTTTAGATCAAGATGAATAAGATGAAATAAGATTGCGTAAAACTAATAAATGTACGAGATATTTTACATATCTTGTCTTTATATAAATACAAAACTGAGATAAATAAAAAGTATTGCCTCACTACAGTGCAGATGTTATGAAAAAAAACTAACTAACTCTAGCAGAAATTTCTTTTAAAACACCTGGGAGAAGAATTTTAAACTTGAAAATGGTAGATTTTAAGTTTGAGGAAACTTCTGGGAATTTGAGAAAAATAGCTAATGAAATGTAATAAAAAATATATTGTTCATAACATAATTCTGAAATTCTGCAAAACAATAAAATATACAAGGAGTTTCACTCAATGCAGAGATAAGAACTGTCAAAAATATTATTTGCCACCTTAAAACTATCGAAGTTAAACAAAACTTGTACACTATATAATTACTAATTCCAGTACATATTCAGCAACTCCAGACCCCAATTTTGATTAACATATTTGGGATATTTTGCAAGAAAAAGTATTAGATTCAGAATTTATGACAGAAATGAACTTGGAAAAAGAAACTCACCACATAATAGGGGAAAAACAATAAACATAATATTCGTCTTAATAGAAGTAATGAAAATAAATAAATAAAATGACATTTTTCTGTTACGAAGGATAGTTTACTTAATGTTCGCTCCTTCATATTCCATATATCTCACATAGAAATTTTCAGGAATTTAGCTACTATACAACAAAACTGGGTGGACTAAAAAGCAGATTAAAAAAAAAAAAAAAAAAATCTGGTTTGATTTTAAATTACGTCCAAAGGGGTGTTTTTTTAACATTTTATGTGTTACATTTATTTATTAATTATCACGTTCTTTGCATTTAAACCATAAAATTCAGTTCAACAGCAATATTGCAAAAAGTTTTAAAATGAGCATATCTTTAGAATTTCATATACAGAGACTCGTGCAATGGGGATAAAAATGTTTTTTTCTGTACAACGTTGCCATTGCTCACTTCGAAATCCTCGAGTTTGTTAAAACTTTTACAAATTAGGAAATCTATAATAAAACAAATTTCAAATTTAGTCTTCCACATGCCCATATTTGTAAGAGGATTACATCATTCAAAACTCGATGGCTCTATATACCGTTGTTTCATCACAATGCGAGAAATATACATACATTTATGTAGATTTTGATTGTTTAATTTCTTTAAATATAACACAGGGCGATAATACTTTGTGGCAACAGTACGAGAAGTGATTCGCTGTTTGTAGTAAACTGACACAAAATCGCAAAACGAAAACAATAGTCCTTCGGGGACAAAGCCTTTTTGGACTAAAAATAAAGTTCAATGAAAAACACATTTCTTTGCTTTTTTCTAAGCAAAATCAAATGCACAAAAAATACAAGAGTATATTATATAAGAATACATTATATAAGAATATATAATGCATATAAAAATTACATCTGCAAACTGTTGGAATTAAAAACAACTGAATGAAATCATACAATTTCAGTTAAAATTAGTAGAACTGCTTTGCACTTAGAAGGAGAAGAAAGAAGGATTTAAAAGGAGGTTAGCAGTCTTTAAAAGAGAGCTCCTTTGTATTTAGGAGGGAAAGAAAGAAGGGTTTAAAAGGTGGTTATCAAAGTGATTATAAGAACTCGGGTAGTGTAAAATATTCAACCAAAAATCATTTCAGCAATCACAAAAAATATAACTAAATCAGCCTAGAAACAGCAGCAAATTAGCCTAAGAATCTGCAATATAATTACATGCATCTAAAACAATTATTATATTGCTTTTAAACATATGTTTAAAATATTTTTTTTTTTTTTTTTTTTTTTTTTTTTTTAACTTTACCCTACCCTTATAAAATTATTTAATTTAAAGATTGAGATAGTTCAGAAGGAACCTCCTAGCAGAACTCCCATTACATTATTTTATAATGAAATTTTTTTTCTTGATGCATATTTATCATAAAAATTGAAAAGGACATTGAACTAGATTTAACAAAATTAGAGCAGCAGCTTCTTTTGCTGAAAATATGCTTATCAAGAAATGTTATTCCCTCAAGGGATATGAAGCAGGTCTAATGCATAAACTTCCTCATGCAAAGAATCTGAAACTGAGTATTTTTCACCTCGGTTAACAGAGCTTGGAACCGAATGCTTATGGAGAATGATAGTGATTATTTAAATACCAATTCCACCATCATAATAAAAATAATGGATCAATATTGTTATTTAAAGAAAAAGAACATTCTCAATTTCCAAAAAAATTAAATGATGCTTCTTGCACATATGATTTGGTTTTACTTTACCCAAATAAATGAGTCCATTTCTGATATTTAAATGAATATAAGATTTAAGGCACAAGCTAATTTCCCTTAAAAAAGTCTCTTTTTCTAAAATATATTTTCTCTGCTTAGGAAGGCTTACATATCATTATATTTTACATGCTGCATACTGATTTATCTTTATATCAGTAATCTTGGTTGCTCAAGTATTTCTACAAACTGAATGCTGACTAAAAATTGTATCTTTTTAAACTTTATCAAATATATTCTGAAACCTATGTTTATTAAGTACATTATAATACGAATATGCCTATAAATGCCAATGCCAAGTAAAAAACTGATTTTATTCTCACTCCTCAGTGAAAATGAACATAGAGAAAACAAAAAATATGAGTTTTCAAATGTTTGTAATGCTGGGTTATGCAAAGAATGCTTTAACCCAGGGCTTTTTAGCCTTTTTTCAGTCATGACTCCTTTTTATCACTGAGTTGTGACCCCAAAATATTTATGAAAATTTTTGGGACCTCATAAGCATTGCACAAATCCGACACACGCGCGAGTAAAATTGTCAATTTTTTCACTTGTACTGTAATATACTATTGCAGTTTAAAGTCTTTAATTTCTAATTTTAAGACATAGAACAATGTGAAAATTTTAAATAAGCAAGAGACAAAATGACAGTGTCACATTCAAGGCAAGCAAAATGAATATTTATATTATAAAAAGAATGCGTTGAAACATTTTAATTTTTTTTCTTCGTCTGTATTGTATTATCTTTATCTATTTTCAGATACGTTATGTAAAAATATTCGGTAATTGTAAAATTATTATAATAAGTTAAAGAAATATCAAAACTGCTAAAATTTTTGGCGACCCCCTGCTGCAGGTCACGCGACCCCCGACCCACAGTTTAAGAAACTCTGCTTTAACTTGTACCATACGATGCAAAATCTATTTCATACAATAAAGTTTTCCAGATTAATAGGTGTGCTTATAGTAAGTCGAATGCTACATATGTGACATATGTGTCCCAGCCTTTGGCTTGAAAACCGTTTGTCAAAAAATTCCAAATGCTAAATTTACCTTATTTACGACATACTTTGTTCACTTGGATAGAAAATGGTGCAAATTTTTTTAAATCATACTTATCAGATTCATTTCATAAGTTATGAGATAGGATTGGATTATTTCATTTACATAAAGCATGCAATGGCTATCTATCTCCATCTCAATTATGAAAGAGTCACATAGAAGATAGAAATGGGCACTACTACATCCCTTTCTTCCTAGCCTTTTAAAAATTTTATATTAAAAGATTTTAAGCCCCATTTTGAAAGTTTACCTACTATTACAAACATCTGATTAATACCTATGCCTTGTGAAAAAAATGCAGTCTGCCCCTCTTAAACTATTACATTGTTCAAATAAGATTATTTTACTACAGTACTTGATTTGAGACTTTTCATGAGATTATAGTATGAAAACAAATTTACTTCTCTCTTTCATTAGCACTACAACATTCAAAGTACACAATTAAAATTTAATTACTTTCCTAAGTAATTTTTCTTAAATTTTTAAAGCTGCATTACCTAGAATTCAGGCAAAATTAAACCAAAAGGTAATTTTACAAGTGACATTTGACTAGACACAGTAAATGCCATTTGACACTATAATCGGCATGGACATTCTTAAACAAGGTGAAGTTAACATAAATAAAGATGGTGTTTGCATTTCGAAACATGCTGTTAAACAAACTGATCCCAAAATGTACACATAATATGACAAATACAGTCAAAAGTCGTTAATCCGGACTTGTCGGGACTTCGGCGATTCCGGATTATCGATTTTTCCGGATTATAGATCATCAG